TATGTATATATATATATATATACAAATATATATACAAATTTGATATAAAGGATTAACAAAAAGTAATTTTTAATATTTTCAATATGTTATTTATTCATTCATTTACTTATTTATTTATTTATTTATTATTTTGTTCTTTTTTTTTTCATACCTTTCTATCGGGAAATCTTCTAGCTTTGCTGAAAAGTATTAGATCCTCGAAGAGGAAAACTTGACGAAGACACTTCTTTCCTTTGCCTTGCCAAACCAAGAATTCATTTTGCCGTAATAACCTGCCTTGCTCTTTTACGTTTACCTATCGAAAATCGATCGTATAAATTTAATACAAGAGATTAAACGAATAGATAAATCTTTTATTTCTTTTTCTCTCTCTTTCTTTTTTTTTTTTTCTTTTTTTTTTTTTTTAATTCCTTCTAACATTCAACGTACATCGCAATCTCGGAGGGAGTCCATAGCCAGGAGGTCATTTCCATGCCTAAGTTGGAACCGTACCATCTGTTCTGCAGCCCTTAAATCAGCTTCCCCCTCTACTACCGGTTTAACGCCATCCTCTTTTTCTTCTTTCTCATCTTTACCAGACATTTGTTCGGATAGATCCGTCCCTGCCTTTACCAATTGTTGAAGCAACAATGCATATTTTCCCATACGTTGAACGGGCTTTAATAGATAACTCGCAAGATCCATTTTATCTCCTAGTTCCATTTGTTTTTGTTTGAAAAATGTCGTACCGTATTCGGCCATTAACGAGTCCGAATTTGGTTTGTTCTTGTTATATAGAGCATAGAGATAAAATTTCTTTTCCTAAATAACAAAAAAGGATCACCATTATTTTCCTATAGATAGAATTTTTTTAAGAAATTTTATTTTACTTATCTTACTCTTATTTATTCTTAATTCTTCTTTTATCTATATTTATTCTCGTTCATATTTGTTCTGAATCTTTTTACTTTTATTTATACTTATACTGCCTTATTCTTATTTTTTTTTTTTTTTTTGTTAGAAAGATATCTTCTCCTCTCTCTCTCTCTTTTTTTTTTCTTTTTTATTGTCGAATTATATTTTTACAAAGAGAAAGAAAATACTTACGTGTCTTAGGAAACATTGTCCCACGAGCATTGGCGATTGTTCACATTGTTCTAATTCCCGTAGAAAATGTTGACTATGAAATTCATAGATCTTCTCAACATTACCAAAGATCACATTTCTTTGACCTCTCAATGCCTGAGGTATATCCTCTCGCACCAGTTCAGGTATGTAATTCTTCAATGGCCGGACACACACACACAAAAAAAAAAAGAAAAAAAAAAAGGAAAAAGAAAAAGAAATGAATATAGTTTTAAGAATGAGGATTGATATAATAAAAAAAAAAAGTTAACAATTATATATATTTATGTTATTTTTGTAATAATTATACCTCTATTATATACTCCAACGACTTCACGTAGTCTCGTTCGGTTTGTATCATCTCTCTCATTATAAGTAGTATCGTTCTGCAAGGTGAAATTCTTTATTAAGGACGTCGTCAACGTAATGGCTCGTTATGACCGCGCGTAATTGAAATTGCGGTTGGAAGAAATTACTAGAATGGATATCTCGTACGTTGATGAATTCGTGGAAAATAAGAGAAAGTTCAAAAAAGAAGAAAAAAAAAAATTCATCAGCGTAGGGATCAAAGTTTATATAAATATATATATATATATATTTTTTTTCTTTCTTTCTTTTTCTTTTTTTTTTCTTTTTTACAATCTCTTCAATCTCTTCCTTAATGTACAGATACATTGTAAATGATCGACTATACAAATGACTTGTATTTTGTCAAAGTTGATGTAACGGACGTAAGAAGAAAAAATTAAAAAAAAAAAAAAAAAAAAAAAGAAAAAAAAAGAACCAAAGAAAGAAAGAAAGAAAAATGATTTGTGCAAGGAGAATGACGGAAGGATATAATCGTACTTTTTTGCTTTCATTCCGGGTGCTATACTAGCCGCCCTATGAAGGTGCGAATTAACAGGAGGTTTGACCAATCTTCGTGGCGCTGGACTTCTCGGTGGTGTTCTTGGTGGAGAACAATCGAGAAGTTGTTCGGCACTTTCCCAAAGTTCCGCTATATTGTCCAATACCGGCCGACCTCCGCTTCCACCGGATCCAACACTTTCCATCGGACATGCGTAAGATGCGGTGCTATCGCTATCGTCCCATGAAGTCCCTAAAAATGATCCTTCTATCAATATATATATATATGTGTGTCATTAAATGAAATTAATTAATATGATATACGAAAAGGAACAACGAAGGATCGATTATTTTCAATCCCAATTTTTTCTTTTCTTTTTCTTCCCTTTTTTTTATTAATAAAATTCAACTATCTTTTTTTCTTTTATTTATTTATTTATTTTTTTTTTTTTGAGTAATACCAAATATAAATCGATTTCAGAAACATTGACGATAAGTTTTTTTTTTTTTTTTTTTTGAATGTTATCGAATATATTTTTTCTTATTAATGAAAAATTCATGCGTGACGTGAAATAATAAATATTGGAAAGTTTGATATATTATCGTATGACGTTTGATCGATGATCACGAATATTAAACGCAGTGGCAAATTTTTTATTCGTTATTCAAATTTTTATGCAGATATTTTGATAAAAATTTTTTTATACGATAAAAAAAAAAAGAAAAGAAAAATAATAATAGTAATAATATTTTGATAATCTTTACTAGTTTTATATTTTTATATTCCTACGAAACTTTTATATTTTTTTATAAAAGTACGTGAAATATATTTGTTCAATGGTATAAAAAAGAGCCATAACAACGATACATACATTGAGATACTTCGTCAAGTCATTATAAATTTTTGTTGTTATTGTTGTTATTACTGTTGTTGTTTCTTTTAATTTCTTTACTTTTCTCTTTTTATTTTAAATCACACTTCAATTTTCTTTTCAATTCATTTTTCTCAATTCTTCTTTCATTTATCATTTCAAACTTTCAGAACAGTTTTAAACGATGATCCTAATTATTATACGAAAAATTGTCAAAAATATTCACGATGAAAAAAGAAATACAAATAAATAAATAAATAAATAAATAAATAAATAAAAGAAAAATAAATGAATGAAAAAAAGAATAAGCAAAAAATAAATAAGTGAAAGAAGGAATGAGCGAAAGCAGAAGCAAAAGAAAAAAACAAAAAAAAAAACAAAAAAAAGAAAAGGAAAATAAATAAATAAAAAAAAAAAAAATAAATAAATATATAAATAAATTAGAACTTACTCTTCGTCAAACTATCGTCCCACGATGTCGAAGAATCCGAAGTGGCAAAGGATCTTCTTCTAGCTGGCGAGCCAGGTGCCGAAGAAGTCCTAGCAATTTCAAGAGCTTCCGCACACTTATTCCTAGCTATGCGACATTGTTCAAGAAGTATCTCGTTACCGAGCTTTTCAGCGAGCGCCATCATCTCGTTGAAATGTTCCGGTGGGAGTGGTGGCCTCGCCATTAGAAATTGTTGGGATCTCCTTTCGGCGGCCACGCGAGCCTCCTGCGCCCACTCGTAAGCACGGTCCTGCAATAGACAGCATCTCGACGTATCCTCGAGATACTCGCGTCGATCCTCCAACCTGGAACCAAATCCTCGAAGATGTTGTTTCAAGGATCGAGCGAGTTCACGAAGTCCGCTCGCACTCGCCGCCTCTGCGAGGTCGCTTCCCTTGTCGATATGTCTCTGTAAATTTCAAAAAGATAAAAATAAATAAATAAAAAACAAAAGAAAAATCGAACAGAAAATTTTTTTAATTTTTAAATCAAATAAAAGATATATGAAATAATTAAATTAATTTTGATGAATGATATGCCAATGATATTCGATATCACGTTTTTATATTCATTCAATCTTTTCTCTTCTTTCTTTTCTTTTTTTTTTCTTTTTTTTTTTTTTTAATCATTTTATGAGAATCCAAAGTTGTTATTTGATCTTTTTTATTTGCTTAAAAAAAAAAAAAAAAGAAAAAAAAAAGAAAAAAAAAAAGAAATTAAATATTCAATTGAGATAATGATAATCACGTTAACGAAATATTTAGTTTGCCGATGAAAAACGCGATGGACGATTTTCATATAGCGCCTTTCGGTTTCTATATATATATATACATATATATATATATATGGAAGGGCCCCCCTGCCGTGCTTGCACATAGCAGAAGCATTCCGCCCTCTCGACAGGGAGAGGCCATAAATCGACATATGGAAGTAAATAACGTCATGGGAAGGAAAGGGAAGGAAAGGGTAGGGAAGGAAAGGGAAGGGAAGGGAAGGGAAGGGAAGAGAAGGAAGGAAGGAAAGAAAGAAGGAACGATAGGGAAGAAAGGGAAAAAGAAATGAAGGAGAAAGGAGGATGGTGGATGAACGATGGAGGAAGGGATGAAGGAGGGGTGGGGCAGGAGGGAGCAGTCGTGGTTTATCCGTACAACGTATAGACATCATTGTCGAGAAAGGCACGTAGGAGGGCGGGACATATAAGAACGTTTACAGAAAACATATCGTAGAGCCTTTCCATATATATATATATATATATGTATGTATGTGTACATGTATGTATGTATGTATGTATGTATATTCACGGTGCGTGCTTGCGCGAGCGTGAAATCCTCTTGGCCACGGACGAGTAGTAGTATTCTATCCTGCATTCAGAGATCCAGAACGTGAACAATTTCGATTGAGTATCCGTGACGAAATAAGAGTGGTATATATATATATATATATATATATATATATATATATATATATCTTTTCTCATAAAATAGATACGCTCGATCGATTGTCTTCATGTTTTCAAAACAATCATGTTAAAGCGAGAGGCTGAGAGAGAGAGAGAAAGAGAGAGAAAGAAATCTTACATGTAGAAGGTAGTATATATGTAGTTTAATATATATATATATGTATATATTGAATTTTATTTAAAAGATTTTTTTTCTTCATAAATTATTATATTAGTCGGGAAAAAATTTGAAAGAATGGTTTCGTCAATATAATTGTTGTTATAGTTTGACATATAATAATGATATTCTCTATTCGAATTTTAATTGAATATTTTCCTTCAACTTTTATAATTTGCAAAATCAAATTATATAATTTATATTTAAAAAAAAAAAAAAAAAAAAAGAAGAAAAAAGTAATATATGCAAAATTGCAATTTATTTTTTCTTTTATTATTATTCCCATAAAAATACATTGAATATAAATATGTAATCGCATATGAGAATATTAACTAACTTGTGATATGAAATTCTTTACACACGGAGATATTAACTTTTTTCTATGGATAATTTATGCAACAATTATGTTAATGAATTTAAATTTTATTTGAATGAAAAAAAAAAAAAATTATGTAAAGGAGTGTTGCCAAATATTTCTCGAATGTTTAAAATTTATCTCATTACTTTATTATCATTATTATTATTATTATTATTATTATTATTATTATTATTATTATTATTATTATTATTATTACTATTATTATTTCCTTTTTTTTTTTATTGTTATCGATAAAATATTTAGAAGTATGTAGAATAAAAAATATATATTTCTTTTTTCTTTTTTATATACAAGATGGCAGAATTTGGTAAAGAGAAAGAGAAAAACAGAAAAATATAATGAAAAGCATAATTTAATGTAATATATTTAGATAATAAAAAAAAAAAAAAAAAAAAAAAAAGTAATAAAAGTAAATACCAATAGAAATATTATAAATACAAATTATTAATATGTAGACAAATTTCCTTTATACGTTTTCATAACAAATCTTTTCGATCATTTTTAATGATTAAAATAAAATAAAATAAAATAAAATAAAATAAAATAAAACAAAACAAAAGAAAAGAAAACAAAATAAAATAAAATATCATCAGTCATTTACGACGTTTAAAATTCATCTCGTTTGTAATGTTTGCATAGACAGAAGGAAGCTCGATTAAAATCTAAATAAAATTACATTCGTTCGTACAATGCACGTACTTTCTTTTTTGTATAATCCCGTCGTTTATTCTTCACCAAGTCCCATTTACTGGATCGATTCGAGTACATCTTTCGTATTTGTCTTTTCTACGTGTAAGTAAGTACGTGACACGTTCTCTCTTTCTCTTTTTTTTTTCTCTCTGTCTCTTTCTCCCTAGGTTTTACTGACTTAAGCCTTAAGACATAAGTATGTAAGTACTTCTTTCCTCTTTTCACCATAAAGCCCGAGGGAGGTATATAAGTAGCGATTGTAGTTAGGCCACGTGCCAAGTTACATTTCTCTTTTCGTTATTGGAATGTTTCATCGACCAATTATATGTAATTACGTTCTTTAATTAACGCGATATGAAAGATCTTAACCTCTATCCGTTTCACGTCTAATCCATACTTGAATAAAAAAAATATATATATATATATATATATATATATACGTTATTGTTAAAAAAAAAAATATATATATATATATATATATACGTTATTGATAAAAAAAAAAGGAAACAATAAAACAAGCATAAAATAAAATTATTTTTGACATTTCGTATTTAAATTTAATCATTGAAAATATATTGCAAATTTAATTATTTAATACGTACAATTAATAATCTTTTGAATTTTTGCAAAATAATTATTCTTATCAATACTATCTCCGATCTCGAACTTTTCATTATAATATATATATATATATATATATATATATATATATATATATGCATGTACATACATACGTCAAATCGATCATCGAAAAAAATGATCGTTCGTGAAATGAATTATCAATGGTTACGGGGTGACTTACGAGAAAAGTGATCTATTTTTTTTAATTAAAATTTTCATTGAAATGGGAATTGGAATTGGAAATTGGAATTGGGATTGGGGTTGGTGTCGGCAGGGAGGATTAAGGGGTGATGAGGAGGGGGATGACATCCCTTTTTCTCTGAAGACAAACTATCCATTTTCATCGAACCGATTATTAAATTCAATACGTAATTCAATACATAACAATACAACTTACTATAAATCAACGTTAACGTACGAATTGATAAATTCAATCATTCACATATATAATTCTTTTTTTCAATAGTATTGGCGTACGTATTATTAAAACTTTCGATCTAGTTAACGTTTTATTATATTGTTTGATAATAATTGTATTTTCATTGTACATACAATATAATTATCTTAGTATAGGAACGTTTGATTAAGTGGAATATGTCGATCAAAGTTTTCAGCTCGTTCTCGGTAATCGTTAAAACGATTTATTTTGCAACGTCAAGATATAAATAGTATAATAGTCGTGGTTCTGAGTCAAAAGATTCGTTGAAAAAAAGAAAAAAAAGAAATAAAAAAAAGGAAAAAAAAACAAAAAAAAAACAAAAAATACAAAAGAAAGAAAAGAGACTCCAGCAATCTCCAGACGATACATAACATTTAACAAATCAAAATCTTTGTTTTCTTTTGTTCACCATGATTTATACAATGTGTAATTATTTATCGTTCGATACAACGATATTTACAATGAAGTAACGAATCATTCTGACTTCTAACACGCCATTATGGAAATGGAAGATCTTAGAAAGATAAAAGTATAAATCTTTGGCGTGAGACAGATAGACAGAAAGAGAGATAGAGAGAGAGAGAGAAAGAGAGAGAGAGAGAGATAGATAGTTAATTTCCTAGACTGTAATTAATCGTCAATGATTTTATCAGATACGAATAATCGTAATTATCGTTATCTTTATCACTGACACAAACGCAGTATAAATAAGAAGAGATTTTTCGATGATTATTAACCGATCTAATTTTCCTCCGATACTCGTCCATCTTGCGGGAAATAGATTTTCAAATTTATAGCGATGAAATTTTCATTTAGATGGGTTATAGGTTAGATTAATAAAAATGTTCATAAACAAGAGAACACGTCATAGGTCGATAAGTTGTTAATTAAACGTTAATCGAATCGCGTTCGTTATCGAACGTTCTTTTTTCCATCTTGGTGTGGCAACATTTTCTTCTTTTTCTACTTTTGTGTGTGTTTCTTCTTTTTGTCTTTTTTTTTTGTTTTTTGCTATTTTTTTTTTATGTTTTTTTATTTTATTTTATTTTTTATTTCTTTTTTTTCCTCGCTTCGAAAGACCGGTCGCACGTGTACGACCGGTATTGGTGGCAAACACTTTCCTGAATATTTAACGATCATCAAGAACAAGACGAGGATAGAAGGACGACGATGATTGGTCGGTTGGTTGGTTAGTTGATTGGTTGGTTGTGTTAGAAAACTGGTATAATACATTTTGTTCGATTCTAAATGGTTTTTCCCGGTTGGACTGGATCAAGTGAGGATAGACGAAGAACCATCTAGACTTTCCTATTATCGACGATTAAAGACACCGCCATAAGTTTTACGTTTAACTTGTGCGACAGGTTGTCGAGCACATTGGAATGTCTTGCAAGCACATAAGTTCCGTATAGTTTATATTTTATTATTATTATTATTATTATTATTATTGTTATTATTATTATTATTATTATTATTATTATTATTATTATTATTATGAGGTTGATCGTTTGGAATGGAAGTCAGGTGAATAAACGATTGAAATATGTGAAGGAAGCTTTTGACGTAAAATATTTGTCCTTGATATTTTTATTTATTTATTTCTTTTTTCTTCTTTCTCATTATTTTGTGCATTTCTTGAAAATTATTATTATTATTATTATTAT